CACTGATATAGTATATCTATATATATATATATATATATATATAGATATATATAGATATATATTAGGTGTGTGCGTATGAATGTAATCATTGAATTTCTTATATTATTGCCGTTTCTGTAAAATGAACGATTCAGACAAATGATGTAATTTTAATCACGAAAAAAATCTACAGTGGGTAACAGAAAATGATGGCAATAAAAAATGTAGCACTCTAGACGCACAAGTAGCTTCATAGGGTCCCATTTCTCATCCTGAAGCTTTTCTATCTTTTTAGGACTCTTTGAGATCCAATTATTTCACCGCCTTTTTTTTTCGATATTCCTTTCACATATTGAGTTGAACTTCATTGGAGGTAAAATAAAAATGATGTTAAGCAAGACTCATTTTGTTTCAACTATTTGGTCATGCACCACACAGATGTGTTAGCGCATTGGACCCTCTTGTTTAGCTTCCTCCTTTACAGCCTATGCCTCTTAACCCCCAATGATGAAGTCATTATCTATATTCTCTTTTCTTTTGGTTGCGCGTGTGTATTGTCATGAATACATTTATTAGTATGGAATAACGGGTGAAAATAAGAAAATGCATGGGTGCAGCGGATAGGAAATATGGTATAGCTGTGTTTAAATGTTTCCGATATTTCCTTTTCATTTTCTTTATTATGAAACTTTATTCCAACCATCTTTTTATCCATCTTGTTTGATTCGCAACTCTCGTTATACTCGGTTCTAGTCGGGTTATAGGCACACAAAAAAGTAACAATTAATTATGTGATGTTATCTTGTGTTTTAGAAGTGTTTTATTATTATTGTAAGAACAACAAGAAGGACACAGAACTTTTGGTTTACCTTTTTCTCCAAACTTGGTAATACAGGCATCCTTTAAATTCCTTTCTTACCTCCTTCAGCAACGCTGTTTTCATTTTTCGCAGCTTCATCCAGTTTAGGGACTTTTCTCACCATTTTCCTCATCACATTACAGAATCCTCGTCAAGGGAGGGGGGGACATAACAACATCCATGTACGTCATAGAAACAGCACAATAATAACAAGGCGGTAACTTTTGATGGACTCTCAGCCCTTTCGTTTGTTAGAGATTCTTCAGGAAAAGAATGATGTCGATAACGGTAGTGTGGCTCCTGTTTCCCCAGAGGGATCACCATCGATTGTATCTCCAACTTTTGTTGTTCTTGAGGTTGGCCCCGAAGCACTACGCTACCGTTGCCCGGTATACTTGCTTGAAATCGGCTCCTCTTCCATACAGAAGCTTTTAGCGTATCAGCATAACCAAACTGAGAAAAGGCCAGACTCTAGAATGGAAGCAAATGCTGACACAAAGGTCTCGGATAACAACGCAGGACTCGAGGAGGAGCTCACAGCACAAGAGGTAGTGGAAGACAGTTTCCTCTCGGCATCGAATACGAACATTCCTCTACCCGATATCGGCAACGTATGCTTCGAGACGGTGGCACTATACTTGGAGCACTTCTACGGTGTTGCGTCTTCCTCGCGCCCCGGCCGTTACGGCAACCAGCTTAGCCAAGTCAACCCAACTAACCCCCCTGGTTACGACCCGGCGGAGGCTGGGCAGGACCGGCCCCCAGGTGAGGCTCTTTTCAGCCATGAGCGTCCAACCCCCCTGGCACCGCCGATGAAGCTGCAGGACCTCTACGGGCTCGCGGGGTGGGAGCGGGAGTTCGTGCTCGAGCGGCTCGTCCGGTGGCGCGAGAGCCGGATGGCGGCGCGCGGCCCGGCTGGCATCCTCGCACCAGCCGTTGATGCCGGCAGCCCGGCGTGGGCATCTGGCGGGACGGCCCCGGACTCGGGTTTGAATCCCACGATGGAAGACATTTTGTATCACGATGGGGCGTGGGTGGACGCGCTGGGGACTCCGTCCTGCCGCTCCTCACCCACGGAGCGGCTCCAAGTCGTCGAGCCATGCCTGGAGGCGGACTGGATCGAGGGTCCTTCTGAGATGACAGAACCAGCCCCCCGTATCACCGGCCCGAAAGTGTACCCGTCCTATGTGGTCTCCTTCACGCTGGAAGAAAAGCAAAGCATCATGAATCGGCTATGCGAGACACTGCACGCCGCCGGGCGGCTGGGTGTAGTTCCGTTGCAGCACTTGTGCGCCGCGCTTATCGCAAATATGGTGGCGCGTCTAAATGAGGAAAATGCGCGCCTCGTGGTGGCAAGGCCTGTCGATGGAAATCTACAAAGCATTCCTCCCATGAGCGCGAACCGCCGAACAGAACTTCTCAAACGGCATCCATGGCTGGAGGCCATTTTGAAGGAAAAGAAAAGTGTTGAGGGTGCGTGGGCGGAATTCTCCTGATAAGGAGGTTGATATGTGGCGGTGCGGCTTACAAAAATGACTTGATCAGCTACGACTCACTAGCTCAGTCCGAGCACATCATAAAGCAAAGAATTGTTTTGGCCACGACAAACCTTGGATTCACTTTATTTTGTCAGATATAACTTGCTGTCGATTGCAAAGCTCAAACGGCGAATGACGTGGTGCTTTAAATGGGGATGAAATACCAGAAGCCATCACATAAGTAAAATCGTGAGACCTTTTCCAACGAATATTTGGTTTATTGGCTAAATCTATTTTTTCTCGTCAGTATTGGCCTTCTTCGTGCCCCAATTCTTTCTGAAATGACATTGAGAAAGGTAAGGGATGATGTCAAAGCAAGGAAAGAGTATAGTTGAAAGGGGTGGGTTCATCTACACTAAATGATTGATGTTTTTACGCGTCTTGGCACTGATTGCGATTGTTTACTGTCATTTGCTTTGCCCTTATGCGCCAGTTGTGTTCTATTTGAACTTCTCTTTTACCCAACTGCTTGCAAGTCCAATAGGCGTCAAATATATCTTTTCTTGCTTTAACAAACGCACATACGTATCTACAAAGTTAAAGAAATGCAGCGCTTACTCTGCAATTCGTATCTTCGGCATGCTGTGCCGTTGCACTTCGCCACATTCGCGATGCACTCCCCCCTTACCATCCCCCCCTCTAGGGTTGGTCGTCTTATGCAGTGGGTTAGTGCCCCCTCTATGCGCTGCCTTAGCACCTCAACTTCGGACGGGAGTATCGACGGGACAATGCAGGCCCCTACCGACCCCTTACCCTCGGAAACGGAAACTCTCGACAAGCTAATTCGAGGTCTTTCCGATGAAGATCAGCGTCTCATCTACAGCGCCCTGACGGACCCTGAGAGTCAGAAGAGCTCTATCATGGGTGGCAGCGGCATCGGGCCGAATGGAAGCGATATGGTAGCTGCCTTTACATGCGGGCGTTGCGAACACCGTATGGTGAAGAAATTCTCTAAACACGCGTATACACGGGGTATCGTGATCGTAGAATGTTCGGAGTGTCATGTGAAGCACCTCTTGGCGGATAACCTCGGCTGGATCGATGACGAGGCCAGAAATATTGAGGATATCTTGCGCGAGAAAGGGGAAAAATTCATAAAGATAGGCGGTGGTGACTATCAAGTATTACCAAAGCCAGAGGAAGGTCGGTGACGACAGAGTTGTGAAGGGGAAAATGCATGCACTTTTTCCCGTGAAAGGTGCATTTCTTAGTTGTTGTGCTACTTGTCATCCATATACTTTGGGTGCATGCGTGTATTCGATATTGTTTTATATAACACTGCTTTAGTATATATCCAAAGTTTTCCCTAAGTAAAAGATAATAATAGACAAGCTCGCTTAAGTAAGGAAGGCCGGTTGGAAAAAGGGCGTGGAAACATAGTATTGGCATCCCTTTCCTCGTGCTACCGATGATCCGAAATATGCATAGTTAGAGGGAAGGTGTGAATATAGTTATCAAGAGTGAAATATGTGCAGGTAAGCTTATGCCGATGAGTTTGCTTATATAGTTTACACGATTAATAACTAATCTTCGTCTTCCCCCTATTCAACATTTTGGTTTTCTTGTTATTATTTTACATATGATTTGCTTCTACTTTAGTCAAAAAAGTCCAATTAGCTTTTTTGTTGTGTTTGATTAACAGGATATCATTTCTTTTAAAAAAGGAATCCTTATATTTTTTCCTTTTACCATAGACAGCCCTCTTGCTTTTTAAATCAATAGTCCAGTCTCTGAACTGACAAAGAACTCCTTTTAACGAAATATCAACACAAGTAACCATTGTGTATAAGTTCTTAAGTAGTTTGTATCTTCGTTTATCATATTATATTATATTATATTTCCATTATTAATTAGGCACATTAGTAAACGATTAAGAATTATTTCCTTTCGTGATATTTGACACCGAAAAATAGAATATATTTATTGGCGTTAGTTTATTTTCTATATTACTTTCACTTTTTCGGAGTAACAAATAAATAGTCCTGGCCATATATATTGCTTCCTTCATAGCTACAGCTCTCAGTACTCTTAAATAGCGACTCAGAAAGATTTCTATACATCATTTCGCACTTTGGGGTGTATATGCATGCGGTCAAGTAAGCTTATACATTTGAGTATTAGGTGAATAATTTTCCGTTTCGTTGTTGCTTTTGTCAACGACAAACTAAAAAAAAACGTAAGGTCTAAATCGCTTGAAGAAACACTCCAACAACACGCAACCGACACGACAAGGGCAAGGTGGATCATATTTTGAAAGGGACACAGCAAATAAGAGTACTACTTACTATCGCTGCACGCACTCTCTCGATCCAAGGGGATACAAGGGGGAAGAAATGAGCCTTGCACTTTTCGAGTTCCTAAACCGGGCTAGCGAGGACCCCAATCTTCCTAGCATGGTTGCCATTCCTCCTGCGGACTTCTTGCTGGAGCAAGCCTGGAAGGAACCGTACGTTTTCCGCTTCATCTCCCCTCCCTCTCCCCCCACCGCCACCGTGCAGAGGAACAGGGAGAGAGGGGCCAAAAACTCGTCTTCCTCGACGACCATGGCAACTGACTTCGGCCGTCGGGGTTCCATCGCGGCGGGTTCGAACCCCGAGCAGCAGTTAATCCTGCAGCCAGGATCGAAGAGCATGGCCGCACGTCCGTGCAGTGGCTCGCCGTGCCCGAGCTTCCACAACCTTTCTCGGGGAGGTGCCCCCGCAGGGGGCAGGTGCATCTTAAACCCGCAGAGTCCCTTTCTGCCAGCCCTCACCGAGCAAGGCTGGCCGACGACGCTGCGTCAGCTCCGTCTGTACGAGGTGGGGTGCGCCACCCTGTGGAAGCCCGCTCCTGTGCAGCCTTCGACAGCGCAGGAGGCGGCCGGGCGGCAGCCCTACCGCGAGGCGGTGCACATGACGCGCTGGGAGATCCCTTCCACCGTGCTCGCGCTTGAGCGCTACCAGCTCATCAGCATTCCGTACACCAAGCCGGACCCTGCCCCCGCCTTTATCGACGCGGCCGGAGACACAACGCTGAATCTCCTGATGCTTCTCGGGTGTAAAACGAACGAAAGTGAGCACGGCGGTGCGCGAGAGGACGACAACCGCGCCGAGACCTGCCAGGTCCTTCGGCCTGGTCAGTTGACCGCGGTGGAACAGCGCGGGGCGAAGGTGGTGGCGACGTTATGCCGCGTTATCAGCACCTCCGGTGGCATCCCCCCCACCCCTGCCGTATCGACTGAAAACCTCCTTGGCATCTTCGAAGGCGTTCTGCGTCATACATTCTTCTACTCCTCCCTCCCACTGTTGGGAGTAAACCCGGACTGGCGACTGGAATCCTGGCAGAAGACGCTACTGATGGATGTCTGCGAGGCCTCTCACTCGCACGGTGGGCTGACGACGGGAAATAACAGCTACTCCGATGATCTGCCGCCGCTTTGTGTTGAAGGTAATACGCAGGAGGTGGAATTGCAAGATCCCTTGATGACCGCCGTGATCGAGCCCTGGGGTGCCCCTGCGAATCTCTCCACCACCACTCTTCAGGAAAACGGTAATGAAAAGGCGAGTTCGAGCACGGTGCCGGTCCCCGTGGCGCGCAGCTCGGGGCAGCGAGAGGAAGAGTGGTTGGTGGCGGCCCCACGAACGGAGCCGAGAAGGCCAGTCGGATTAAGCTCCAGCAGCAATCTTACCCAATGGAGGCATACCGCCCTGCGTCGGATGCTAAGGAACGACGTTTACGGCCCGGAAGTCAAGGGAGGTTGGCGGATCTGGACGCGGGCCTGCAAGGAAGGCCTCAGCCGCCCCCTCATCATCAACTCGATCGACGAGATCGTGAACTTCTGCGGGTGCTCGCGCAACGCCTTCTACACTGCGGTGGCCTACCTCGACCGGTTTGTCGCGCTGGCGACCGATCCGGTTGCGAGCTGCCGCAACTTCCTAGAGAGCGTCTTCCAGGGAGGATCCGGTGGGGGCGGCGGGGGTGGGGGAGGAGGAGGAGCCTCCGCCGCGTCGCTATCAACGTTTAACATCGACTACCAGACGCTGTGCACCTACCTCACCCAGGTGATCGCGGCCTGTGCGATGCTGGGCTGCAAGTTCGTGGAGACCTACCCGCCCCGGGTGAACAAGGTCTTGATGTGCCTCCAGGCGGAGTCCCGCCTCTCGCAGGAGGACTTCTGGATGCTGGAGATCCACGTCTTGTCAACGCTGCGCTACCGGCTGCAGCCCGTGACGGTGAGTGAGCTGGTGGAGACGCTGCTTTGCTTCGGCGGCGGCGACGGGCTGGAGCGGGAGTGTAGTGTGGAGTACTACACCCAGCTCCTCCACGGCCGCGCCCGGAGTGAGCCCCACCTCGCCCCGCAGGTCTACAAGCGCATCCTGCAGCACCGGGAGTGCGCCTCGCGGTATGCCTCGGCTGAGGGCGTAGCCGCGGAAGACCCTCGAGCATCCCAGCCGGCCTCCACGTCCGGCGCCGGATCTAACCGCTCAAAATGGCAGCAGCTTTGCATGCTGGCGCGGTTCATCTGCGATATGATGATCCGCGGCTCGCCATCGGCGAACTCCAGCCGTGGCGGCAACGCCACCCACGGCGGGGTGGAATCGAGCGTGAGCTGCTTTTTGGACATCCCACCCTCGCTTTTGGCGGTGGCGATCGTCGTCGTGACGGCCGAGGTGCTGCGGACACCGCTTCCGGAGCCGCTTTTCGCGCTGTTGCCGCCCTCTTACCAAGCCCAGCTCCAGAGGTACGGGCTGGGGGCCGCAACGAGGCCCTTTTCTGCGCGAACCGAAGAGGCCGGCGCGACCCTTTCTCGGTCCCCCTCCGCCTCCGACGCCGCCGCGGCGGACCACACAACCCCTAGCAACGGCGAGTTGGAGAATGGGAAGCTTCCACAAGGCCAACCATCGTCGTCATCGATAGGTGTAGCCGCTCAGGAGGAAGAACACACGCTTTCTTCTTCGATATGCTTATTTCCAGTCTCCATACATGATGACACCTATGCCCTTCTTCAAACCTACTGCGAGATGGTCAAGTCAATGCCTTACTCGAATTTTAGCAAATCTTCGCCCCTAGCACCTGAAACGGACGGCGGCCGCTATCGGGGCCAGTACCAAAACATGCTGATGCTGGCGATTGAGGAAGTGCATCGATGTTACCGTGAGTGCCGCGAGACGCCGTGCGACCCTATTCTTCGGAAGCGGTATCGAGACATGTTCTCAACCCAGGTAAAATAGTGATAATGGGGAAAAAAATATCTTCCCTTCCAGATGTATTTCTAAGCGCAGTCACCTTTTGTTAGTTTGGGTCTATTGAGGTTTTTAACTGAGCTTCTTTTGGTTTATAATCCTTTTTTACATGATATCTTCTTTCCTGATCAAGAGTGGAAGTGTGGTGACCATGAATTAAATGGTTGAATTTATTCCTATCGAGAGCGGTAGATTTATTAGGTATGTTTTTATATGGCTTGTCTCGTTATCGATAGTCATCACTACAGTTCATTTCTTTGTCGTTTGCCTTTCACCGTTTTCGTTCTTGGTAGTCTTTTTGCTTAATCCTTTTACCATTTCTATGCTGACACCTTATCGAGTTATTCCATCAAGACCCACTTTTTTTTACCGACTAAAATCACAATAGCAGTGATGTTAGTCCTTCTAATGAAAAAAACAATCATATCACGCTCTCTGGTGAACAGCATTTATATAAATATATATATTTAGTCCTTCGAACTATGCCTTCGGAACCTTCGTATTATCATTGCCCCGTGGCAATGGGAACAAACAAAGGTAAAAAGTGTGATAATTAACGGAAGTGGTGCTAAAATTTTTCTCCCTCAAAATCAATACCTAGTGCGCATTGGAGAGTTATTCCTTTCTATTTTCTTTCTTCTTGTTTTTTTTTTATATATCATTATGTGTTTTAATCGATCTTCAGATTCGATTCACGTTTATTGGTGAAGTTCTATAACTACATGTCCGCAAAAAAAAAAAACATATATCTGGCATACATTAATACGCAAAGTATTCAAAATGTCTTTTGAGTTTCAGATTTTCTGCAAGAGACGCAGCTCACCAGATAACATAAAGGGGAGAATATAAGGGAAAAAGGGAGGCCATATTAAAGACAACAATAATGGTTTTCTAACTCTTGAAACAGATCTGTTAAACGTATATATATATTAATGTGATGATATTCCCTGCTGCAAATCCTCTAACTACTCTGACGTTGAAGTGTTTGCGGTGCCCATGCATTGATTCACGCCTCTATTTCTAAGAGACTACTAATGAGGGGATGATAATGATTTAGTCTCTAGGCACACGATGTTGTATACATAAATAAAAAACATGAGTCTTGTACGTACAGAGATGGGTCTATTTTCCATTACAGCATAGATTGGATTTTTTACCACTTACTTCAGTTTAATTTGCTTTTTCGGATCGTAACGATTTTGTTATCCACTTTGTGTTTGTATGTTTCTTTCAATTTTTTTGTTTCTTATCACTTCATTGTGTTCACTTTAACCGAATACCCCAGCTTTTCACTTCACCCATAAATATGCAAGAGGAGTAAACCATCTAATTGGGGAAAGAAATAGAATTGATAATAAAAATGATGCTTTTGGAATAATTTACGCATATATGCATAGATATACCTATAATAGTGTCTCTTTTAAATATTGGATGAATTACTTGTGTCGGTTTAACTCACGTTGTTTTATACTTACTCCATTCTCGCCTGCCTGCATTTTATCGTACCTCTAGTTCATCCCTGGATACGTAAACAAATAAATATATTATTTACTGTCTTTCTGACTGACAAACATATTACAATATGGCCAGCGTTAAGGATGAGGTTTCCATAGATGTCGCCTGGGAGGATCAACAGCGCATCTGCACCTTCTCCCGACTTCATCGCCGTATTCAGCACCTTCAAACTCGTCTCAAGCTTTTAAGCGATGACATTGAGAAGCTCGATGATGCCGGTACGGAAGTCATGATTTGTGATAGTGTCAAGTACGTATTCGGCGAGGCCTTCGTAGACTTGGATCCAGACCGCGCCACGGAACTCCTAGAGGACGAAAAGACAACCCTTGAGAAGGAAAAGGAAGGTGTAGAGGAAGAGCTCAAGGAACTTCAAAGTGCACTCGGCGAGCTAAAAGCGCAGCTCTATGCTAAGTTTGGATCGCAAATTTACTTGGAAGACAAGTAGGAGATTAAATGTGCGTGTGTGTGAGTGTGTGTGTGTATCCCTTTTGAAAGCAATAAAATAAATAGCCGTGCGTAATTTCTTTACGACAGAACGGAGTTGGGGTCTGGGCTGAGTTCAGGCTTTTTCCCAATAATATGCCTACTCGCGAGAAGATGAATTCTCGTATTGCCTTCCCATTACCACCACCACCTCATTCGTTTTGTATTCCGTCATCGATTCCTGGAAAATGAAAAAACTCCTACAGAATTTTTGTTTGAATCCTTAATCCTGAGACCTTACAAGTAATTTTATTTGTGATTCGATGATAGCTCCGTTTTCTGTTTGTTAAATGGTGTCGTGTTAAAAGAAAACTGGTTGTCATGCCGACAGGGCGACTTCGCCTGCCCGGGGAATCATTTGGATCAGAGTTCTTAACCATTTTGCGTTAAATGGCCTCCACTCGTGTGAATCTAATGATTTTAGGGTTGTATATATATATATATATATATTCGATCTCGCTATTGTCGTATCAAATCAAAAAAAAAAGAACTGTTGTGTTATCGAACGCGCGTGGATATGTAGACCAGCCCCCCTCCTAAAAAAAAAAGTGAGGGTGGAAACAGTAAAGTAAAAGGAAAATTATAAATAGGTTCATTGCGTCTTGTGAGCGAATCGCGATTTTGGGAACTTAAAAGCCAAGCTCAAGATTAAAATGTATCATGATTAGCATATTTTTCCCACAACCCCCACTCCCACTCTTCCTTGAGTCTAAAAGTCGTTTAAAAGCAGGTGTACATGTTACACAGTTACATAAATATACATTTGCATATACACCTATAGGTATATAAATTCGCATTGGGTAAATATAGATCGAATACCAACCATACGGATATTCCTAGAATCTAAAAAATGATAGTTAATTCCGAACTCCTGATGCACGACGTCATTCATCGTGCGCTGGAGCAACTGAACGCGAACAACGCGTACGAGTGCATCCACATCATCACGAGTGCCCTGGAGCATGACGAGAGCCCGTATTTGCGGCGGGAACTCACGAAAAAGGCCCCCGCCGGGGCCAAGACCGCCCCGCTGGCGGGAAATGGCGAGAGCATCCTCAGCCTTTTGCTCCCGACGGCGACGATCGGGGGGATCCTGTCGCCGCCGAAGACGCCGCTCTTCGGCGGGGGCGCCTCGGGGGTGGGGAGCACCTTCACCGGCTCCACCGCCGTCCGGCGGCTGATGAACGAATCCGCGATCAGCGCCCACCTCCCCTCCAACGGGGGGGCGATCCACACCGGGACGGTCGTCGCGGCCGCGGAGGCCGGGAAGG